CTCTTAGGATGCCCTTGGCTCTATGATAATTATGTCACCATCTATGGTTGAGCAAATAACCATATGTTTAAGCATGAGGGCAAGATGATCTTACTCCATCCTACTAAACCTGAACCTAAAAGAAAAACCCAAGCTAGGACAAAGGGTTCGACCCCTAAGTTCCATAACGCTTACCTCTTAACAAAGAGACAATTCATACAAGAAAGTAAGAAGGTTGATTTTGTTCTTGCTATCATCTCCAAAGTTGCTACCTTACCTACATTAGTAGCTAGTGATCTACCTGATGAAGTGATCCAACTCTTAAATGAGTTCAAGGATATTATACCAGAGGAGCTACCTCCTGATTTATCGCCCATGAGGGACACTCAGCATGTGATTAACTCGGTTCCTCAATCACAACTCCTTAACCTACCATACTACAGGATAAATCTAAAAAAATAGGAAAGAGCTCAATTGATAAGTTAACGGATCACTTGATAAAGGATATATCCAGTGCTATCTCTACCCTTTTGACTCCCAAGAAAGACAGCTCTTAGAGGATGTGTGTAGAAAGTAGAGCCATTAATAAGATAACTGTCAAATACCAATTTCCTATCCTAAGGCTCGACGACATGCTTGACTTGATATCTTGATCTATTTGGTTCTTTAAAATTGACATTAATAGTAGATACAATCAGATCTAGATTAGACTTGGAGATGAAAGGAGGACAGCGTTCAAGACTCAAGGTGGGTTGTACGAGGAGTTAGTTATGCCTTTTGCCTTTATGAATGCCCCTAGTATCTTTACGAGGGTGATGATTTCACATGCTGGAACCCTTCCCAGGAAAGTTCTTAGTCATTTAGTTTGACAATATCCTATTTTCAATAAGTCTAGAGACGACCATTTGAACAACCTTAGGTAGTATTTCTCACCCTTCATAAGGAGAAATTTTACCTTAGTCTACCTAAATGCTTCTTCTTACAAAATTAAGTCATCTTTCTTGATTTATTGTTTTTGAACGTGGTCTATTTGCTGATTCTGTGAAGTTCCGTGCCATCCAAGCGTATCTTAAACCTCAATCACTGCATGAAGTGTGGAGTTTTCATGACTTAACATCCTTCTATCAATGTTTTATATGAGCTTTTAGTTAAATAAACTCTGTTGGACCCTTGTTGCACCCTTATGCTCATGTCACCTAATTTTAGTAAATGTTTTGAGGTTGCTCGTGATGCTTCTGGAGGTGGAATCAGAGGAGTACTTAGTCAAGATGACCTTCCTATCGCCTTCTTCAACAAGAAGCTTAATGACGCTAAGCAAAACTACTCCACGTATGACAAGGAGTTCTATGCCATAGTTTATTGTCTTGAGCATTGAAAGTATTACCTCCTACCCCAGCACTCTATTCCGACTACTAGGCACTAAAGTTTCTTAGCTCACAAAAATATTTGAATGCCAAACATGCCAAATGGGTCGAGTTCATTCAAGATTTCACCTTTGAGGTTAAACATTAATTGGGAGTCAAGAATAAGCTAGCTGATGCTCTTAGTAGATGAGTCCATCTTCTCAATACCATGACGGTTAGCGTTGTTGGTTTTGAAAGGTTAAGAGATAAATATGCAGCATGCCCTGATTTTAGACTCATCTATCAAGAGGTTTTGAATTGGAACTACCATGACCATATGGATTTCTTAGTCAATGATGGCTATCTATTTTGAGGGTCTAGGTTATGTACTCCTCATATATCATTGCGTGATTTTCTCCTATAGGAATTAAATGCTAAAGGCTTAGCTAAACATTTTATTGTCTCAAAGACCATTGCCTTAGTGGAAGATAGGTTTTATTGGCCTTCCCTCAAGTGTGATGTCACTAAGATCCTTTTCCAATGCTGCACTTGCCATACAACAAAGAAAAAGAAGAGGAATATTGGGTGGTATACGCCCCTGTTGATGCCTGAGACACCCTGGAAAGACAGTAGTATGGATTTTTTGTTAGGGTTGTCTAAGAAAGCATGAGGACATGATTCCTTCTTGGTTATAGTCGACAGGTTTTTGAAGATGGCCCACATCATACCTTATAGCAGGACTACCACTGCCTCTCACCTTGCTGAGTTGTTCTTTAAAGAGATTGTGTGTCTTCATGGTCTTCCTAGTACCATTGTTTCAAATAGAGATGTTAAGTTTGTCACTACTTCTGGAAGACCCTTTGAAAACTCTTCGACACCTAGTTGAAGTTTTCCTCATTTTTCCACCCTCAGATGAATGGTCAAGCAGAAGTGACCAATTGCAGTTTAGGTGACCTACTCTATAGTTTAGTTGGTGATAAACCAAGTAATGGGGATTTAGTCTTGCCTATAGCAAAGTTTGCTTATAATAACTCTATTAATTGATCTATTAGCATGAACCCTTTCCAGATAGTCCATAAATTTAATCCTAAACAACCTATTAACTGTGTATCCATTTCCTTATCTACCCGCCCTTTTGAGTCCACTGAGACCTTTGCCTGTTGTCTTCACGATGTTCATGTTGAGGTCAGCCGTAAGCTAACATGGAGTAATGACAAGTACAAGGTAGCTGCAGATGCTTATCGTCGTTACCAAGATTTATGGTAGGAGACTATGTCATGGCACTTATATGGCTAGAGCGCTTCCTAAGATGACCTTATAAGAAACTACACACGTATGCCTCGGGCCCATTCCGTATTGAGAAGAAGTTAGGGCCCAGTGCTTATTTGTTCGAGTTACCTCCAGACATGTCTATCAGTGCAATTTTTAATATTGAGAATCTTATTCCTCATCGGGGTACTTTTGAGTCGCCCTTTTTGTGTTCTGATGATTCTGCAGGTACCCAACTCTGCCATGCCTCAAATCCACCATTGCCAGGTATTCCACTGATTGCTGAGACCATTGATGTTGTGATGGATGAGCAGATACTTTTGATTCCACTAAGTCCCATTCGTCACTTTCTAGTTCATTGGAAAGGTCATGTTGACTCAATTCTGATATGGATTACCGAGCACGAGTTTCATCATGTGGACCCCCCCTTTTCAATGACTACTAGCTTTCTAACTCTTCGGTGGCGAGTTCTTCCAACCAAGGGGAATTGATGTAGATATTTAGGATTTTTTTTGTTATTTTAATTTTAATTTTTATTGTTTACTCTATCTTAATTAGTTATTTATTTTTGTAGTTAGTCACTTTGTGGACATTTATCTTAATCCCACTCTCCCCCACTTCTCATTTTCAGATTTTTTATGATTGTTTTATTTTTATAATTAGTTTAGGATATAAATATTAGTAGGGTTTCATTTTGACGGTAGAATGCATTATACGATTGAAATTTACAAGCTTTTCTCTCTTAGTTTTCTCTTATTTCTCTTCAGTCTTCCTGTTTGCTTTTAATTTCTCATCTTTTCCTCAATTTCTCAATTTCTCAATTTTTCTTCTTGTTCCACATCACTTTGCCTTTTTTTGGACTTATATTTGATGGTATAAAAGTCTTCTAATAGGTAATACAGAATGCAAACCAAAGCAACAAATTGGTTTGAAAGTAGAGACGTGAGAAATTAGTGTAGCAATCAAAGAGAATAGGAGTTCATAAGATCATATAGAAGCAAAAATTGGGATTAAGCCCTCAACGAGGGTGGATCATTAGAATTGGATTTGATTCATTATCTATTAAGATTGTATGTTTTTACGATAACTCTGAAATTTCGAATTATATGCATGCAAACCCATTAAACTTTAAGTGAAAACTAATAATGTTGGAGATAATTAACATGTTGGTGGTGGGTTGTGACTTGGGAGGTTGGAACTTGGAAACATAGCTTTGACTAGCAAAATTTCAAGTTGTTTGTGTGCACGACCCAAAAAATTCTTATAGAAAAAAATTATATTTTAATTATATTCTTTTAAAAATATATAGCAAATAATGAATTTGTTGGGGAAATACATGCACTACATGCATTTGAATCTAATCATATGTAAAACAATACAATATAAGTAAATGCTCTATCATACATGCATTTGAATGATTAGAATTTTAAATCTAATCATATTTACCATCCTATAAATCGTACGACAAGAAATTTCCAGTTTTATTTAAATTTTTGTCAACGTCAATAATTTGTTTCTATAAAAGGTCAATTTACTTGGGTTCTTCTACAAATCTATGGGCTCGGTTTCTTTAAGAAAGATTCACGGACAATGCATCTAGTAGCTAGATTCATTGTATTTTTTATTTTGGAAAAATTTATTAACTAATGTCACTAATGACATTAACCCTTGTGACTGAGCACCAAAATGCTACCTCCAAAATCTAATTTATAGTTCAATGCTTCAATTTGGAATACAAGCTAGATTTTATATTAAGAATCGAATGTGACAACTTATATTTTGAGACAGAAAGTATTTTCATTTTACAAAATCTTAAGAGACAGATTTATCAAACGTTTTGTTGATAACAACTTTGTATTTTCATTTCACAATGATTAATACATAGTGCTCATCACCATAATGTAATCAAAATTATTCAAAATTCAATATGGATGGTTAAGATTTAAAAATTTTTAATTTACAATTTTTTTAATGATGAATTTTTTTTAAGAAAATTAGTTATAAGATTATTTTTATTTTAAATGTTGTAACCTATTAAGATAAAAAAAATTATTTAAAAAATATATAAAAAATTTCTATTAAACCTGGACCATTTAAAATCGATCCAGATGGCCTGAATCGATGTTCATTCTCTCCGGTATACATGCCATGTTCTGGAAGCCCAAATAATTGGCTTCTCTAGAATCATTGCGTCCATAAAAATATTTAAAATACATTGAATCATTAATGACATATACATTGAATAATTTTATTTAGCACCATACAAAGTATTTGAAATTTAAAATATGGGATAGAAATAACACGTCAAGATTTCCAAAAATTACAAAGGGTTTTAACTATAAATAAGACATCCTAGCGATTCAGCTATGAACAAATAACAAGTACATCTCAACCATTCTTCCTCAAGCTACTCAGACAAAATAAAGAAATGGTGAACATGAGCACGGGCGTGATCTTGAGCATCCCAATGATCGACATGCAGAAATTTCCAGATGAAGAGGAGTACAAGAAGCTAAGAGAGGCATGCGATGAATGGGGATGTTTCAGAGTGGTAAACCATAGCTTACCCAAGAGCTTAATGGAGGAGATGAAGAAGGTGGCAACGTGTTTGCATGATCGTCCAAGAGAGATCAAGAAACGCAATGCTGATGTTGCTAAGGGAAGTGGCTACACATATCTTCCTATAAATCCACTCTATGAAAATATGGGTTTTCATGACTTTGGATCCTCTCTTGATATCGATACTTTCTGCTCTCAGTTGGATGCATCCCCTCATGACAAGTTAGTATACAAATACTAATCACTCTATGTAAAATGAAATATAATTGTTGACTAGATCATATAATGCATGCAGGGAAATCATGAAGGCATATGGGAAAGCAATTCAAGAACTAGCGGTGGACATAGCCAGAAAGATAAACGAATGTGTTGTGGGGTTATCAGAACCCGTTGATTTTCAAGACTGGCGATGCAATTTTAAGATGAACAAATATAGCTTCACCCCTGAGACTGTAGGACTCTCAGGAGTCCATGAGCACACTGATCCAGGGTTTCTCACAGTTGTTCAAGATGATGACCTTATTGATGGTCTTGAAGTCTTACACCTTCCCTCTGGTTCCTTTATTCCAGTCCCTCCTTTATCTGGCACCTTCGTTGTTAATCTCGGGGATGTTGCTCATGTAAATTAATCTCTCTTCACTTAACATCCATATATTTCCTCTTTTATGCCATTCATCACTTTTCTCTCTATCTCTCTTTAATTTGCATCACACTTCATGATTGTGAATCTATGTTTTATTAACATGCATGCTTCCCTTTGAATTATAAGAGGTAAGTAGTTACTTGAGGTTGAACCTTTGACCTTCTGCCATGAAGGGTAGATTACATGTCACTGGGCCATAAAGCCATTATCTTATTCACATGCTTCTCTACGTTGTAGATTTGGTTAGAAAATGATTATTATTATTTTAAATGAATGATTTAGGTGTGGAGTAATGGAAGGTTTCCAGGTGTGCATCATCGTGTGCTATGCAAGGAAGGAAGGACCAGAATTTCAGTAGTGGCAAGTTTGCAAGCACCAAGGCATAGGGATGTTGAAGTTGCAAAAGAGTTTGTGGACGCAGACCACCCACCTCTCTTTATGCCTTTCACTTTCGAACGTTACATTGAGTCTCGTTGGGCCAAAAATATGAGAGTTGGTGAAGCGCTTGACTTCTTGCGTGTTGATCACCCTTCAAATACTGTTTCAGCTTGATGTGCTTTAGGGGAGATGAGTAAGAGAGAAATAAAATAAATACTACCTCTTGAGCCTTTTCAAGAGAAATAAGTTGTAGTTAAGTTTTAACTATAACTTGTTCCTTTATAAGTAGGGTTGGAGGTAGGTAATAAGTTTCATCATTATAAGTTCTTTCTTAGTGTTTTTATAGTGTTGCTTGGGGTACTTTATGATGAACTCAGAGAAAGGGATAGAGGAGTGAAGCTGGCCCCTTATGTTAGACTCATGTGCTAATAAATAGGATAAGACCCACTTCTTTCTTCTTATCTCCTTATATAAATATATATATATATTTTACAATAATAAGAGTTCAATAATCTGTAATCTTGCTTTGCAATTATTATATATTATGTTTCATTTTTATACATCCTTCTCACTAGCCACAATCTATATTATTGTTTTTCCCCAAGGAACCACAATTTATACCATCAAACACTTGATAAAATAATTAGCAGAATTCCCGCCAGCTATATCCATAATCCATGAAGAAACATGTCTGTATGGTTGAATGAAGCGGCGACTTGAGTCATTGCCATAGTGACAGTGGTTGAAAACTTTCAGCAATGACTAAAAAGTCGCCACTGAAAGACACTTTCAGCGGTGACTTTTAGAAGTTTTAGCAGCGACATTTGTCGCCATTGAAAGCTACTTTTGACGGCGACCTTATTGTCACCGCTGAAAGAACTTTTGGTGGTGACAAACTGTCGTTGCCAAAAGTGACTTTCAGTGGTGACTTTTTTGTCGCCACTGAAAGTGATGCCTAAGAAAAATTGGCTTTAATGATGCCATATCATCACTGGCCACCTCCACGTCATCGCTGCCGGTCACCACATCATCACTGACCGGACGTCACGTCATCACTAGCTACCCCTATGTCATCGTCAGCCACCTCCACGTCATTGCCACATCACCACTCTCATGCCATGTCACTTCTCCCTGTCACGTCACCACCCAAATATTTTCACCTTAAATGTGTCTTCTTCAAGGTTCGAACTCGTGACCATGTCCTTTCGTGTTCAATCTTCTTGCCGTTGAGCTAGATTGAATTTGTTTATTATTATTGTAAATAATATATATATTATTAGATTAGACTTTCAGTGGCGACATTAAGGTGAAAATATTAGCATTTCCAAATGACTTGAAACTTCAATTCTTGGACCAAAATAACCTTTCACAAGAGTAAACTACATAAACTCAAAAACAATAAGGATTAAAATCAAATTATACACAATTATATCAAAGAGTGTATAAAATTCTGGGAAGATGTGTGGAAGTAGCATGAAATTCTAGAAGTTAACACAATTGTAAAATGAACACATGCATCTTCAACCTTGAGACTATAGGGCCTATAGGAACCCATCAGCACGCTAATCTAGGGTTTCACTCAGTTGTTCAAGATGATGACCTTATTGATGGACTTGAAGTCTTGCACCTTCCCTCTGGTTCCATTGTTTCCGTCCCTCCTTTATCTGGAATCTTTGTTGTAAATCTTGGGGATGTCGCTCATGTAAATTTTGCTCCCTTCACTTAACATCCACATATTCCCTCTTTTTCATGCCTTTGATCACTTTTTCCTTGTCTCTCTTTAAATGCATGACATTTCATGTTTGTGAATCTAAGCTTTTATTAAAATGCTCTCTCTTCGAATTATAGAAGGCAAATAAGTACTCGAAGTAAGGGCCAGATCGAACCCGTGATGACCTTTCACCATTAAGGGTGAATTACATGTTATTGATACTACTAATAAAAAAAGTCTTTTACACCGGTTAGAATAAGCATTTGACATTAGAAAGACGACCGGTATAGAAATGGGCGGCATTAAAAATCCAATCTTTTTACACCAGTTGCAAAACCAGTATAGAAAATATTATTTTTAATACTTGTTGTTATTCCAACCAATGTAAAAGTGAAAATTAAAAAAATTAAAAAGATCTACAATTTATGAGATCTAATAAAATCCCAGAAGAAGCTGTGATTAAATCGCAGCTTCTTCTAAGATTTTACCATATCTCAAAAGATTCAAATTTCATAACATTGTAACAAACAATTCAACAATCTAACAAATAAGAAATAGTATAAGAGTAAAAGCAATCATATCTAATAAGATCGTAAAAAAACTAATCAAGTTTTTCAGAAATGATATTGATTCATATTGGTTTATAGTATAAAAATATATTTGTTAGACAAAGTTTAAAGTTATTCATGAAACAGAAAAATAAACAAAGAGTATAAACTTAAAACGAATATAACGGCAATAAAGATGAGTATAGATCTAGGCAAATATGAGCATTTAGATGACAACATAATGTGAGCTTGAGATAGCATGGATCTAGATGTGATGGACACAAATCTTGATGTCATGAGCATAGATCTGGATGGACAAGCACAGATTTGGATGGTGTGAGGATGGATCTCTACCTAACAATCATGGAGAAGTCAATGAACCTGAAAAAGATGAAGCACTATAAAGGAGTCAAGCATGAAGAATACATCATAACACAAAGGAGAAGAGCATGAAATAGAGGACTAGCATTGAGATTATTGATGAATGAAGCATAGAAAGGAGATTACAAGAGAACTTAGAGAGATTGCGAGAGAATGGAGTTTGGTTTAAAAGAGGCGGTTGCAAAATGAAGTAGATTAACCTTTATGTTTTAAATCACCATTTTAGAGCTTGTAAATATTATTTTTTAAAAAAATATTTTAAAAACTTTTTATACCAATTGTAATAAATATCTGGTGTAGAAAGTATATTGCAAACCGATTGTATGAGAAACCAGTCTAAAAAGTTATAAATATTATTTTTTAAAAATATATTCTTAATACTTTTTATACCAACACAAATAATCAGTGTAAAAAGTATATTACACTGGTTGTATGCAAAGCCAGTATAAAAATGTATCAATATTTACAAAAATGTTACCGGTCATATTTTTTATACCATTACTGTAATAAATAGTATAGAACTGTGGATTAGGCGGTGGAAAAAAGATTTTTTCTAACAGTAACTCGCAAGAACATCATCTTACTAACACGCTTCTATACGTTGTAGATTTGATTAGAAAATGATTATATCTTTTTAATGAATGATGTAGGTGGGGAGCAATGGAAGGTTTTTAGATGTGATTCATCATGTGCAATGCAAGGAAGGACCAGAATTTCAATAGTGACAAGTTTGCAAGTGACAAAGCAAAGGGATTTTGAAGCTGCAAAAGAGTCTATGGATAGTGACTGCCCACCTCTCTTTATGCCTTTTAATTTTGAACTTTACAGAGTCTCGATGGTCAAAAAAACATACACGGTGAAGCCCTTGGCTTGCTGCGTGTTCGAGCGTCCCCTGAAAACTACTTCAGTATGATGTGTTTTTGGCGAAATGATTTGGAGAGAGATAAATAAATACTATCTCTTGAGCCTATTTGTTAGAAATAAATAGGCTCAGGAGGCAGTAATAAATTTCATCAAAATAAGTTCATTTTTAGTTTGTCTAGAGTGTTGCTTGAACGACTCTATGATGAACTTAGAGAAAGGAAAAAGGAGTGAAGTTGGCTCTGCCCTTGTTAGACTTAGTGCTAAATAGGATAAAACCCACTTCTTTCTTTCTGTCTCTTTTTATATTTCTAAAATAAAAGTTCTTCAACAAAATGTAATTTTGCTTTGCAATTGTTGTTTATTTTAATCCGTCTTCTTACGAGCTACAATCCATATTGTACCGCAATTTATACTGTCAAAACACTTGATAAAATAATTAAATCTAAATAAAGACGGCTTTACAATATAAGAGGAAAATTAAATCAATTCAAATTTGATGTTAATTAAACTGTTGACCATTGTAGAGAAAGTTGATTATACTACTGCAGCATAAATTTTTTACATCTGTTTTGGAGGACTTTTCACTTCTATCTTGGAAGAGACATAGAAAAAAAGGAACGTAATAGATACCGTATCCTCTACTTTTGTTTCGAACAGAGGAGAAAAATGATATATTTCATGTTTGTTATAAAAAAAAAAGTAAAAAATCATACTATTTACTTATGTTTTGTCAAAACAGACAAGAAAAATGCCATTTTTCTTGTATGTCTTTTCTTTTCTAGAACAGAAGTAAATATAATGACTTTTTACTTCTATTTCCAATAAAATATAAATAAAAAATGCCTATTTTTACTTCTGTTTTTGGAAAATAAAAGTGAAAAATTATTCTTTTAAAAAAAAATATTGAATTTCTTACTAGAAACTAACCTACAACTTAATATACAACAAGAAAAAATCGTATTTCAACAAATAATCAAATAGTCAATAACGTAATTCACATATCATTTCATAAACAAATAGTCAAGTCCACAACTGTCCAAAACAAAAACTCCAAAAGCTAAAGCTTACCATCAGCATAATACCCCAAAAAAAAAAAATTTAGAATCTGAACATCATAAGCTAAAACATAAAGCCTCTATGGACTTCGTCTATCAATATAAGACTACAACAGTTGAAGAAGTTGTCATGCCAAAATGTCTTGAAAGGAATCAATCTTTTCAATGGTGTAGGAGTCCTCATTATAAAAAAATCTACAAATTAAGAAACAAACAAACTTAATCTTATGAAATAGAACCAAAATGAAACCACAAAAGTAGAAAAATGAAGACGAGAGAATGAGAGAACTTTTGTATTTCTTCACTTGCATTACAACACAAATGACTTGCCCTATTTATAGGCATAGTCTTACAAATAAGTTACAATTGTTCTTAAATGACAAATAGTGGATAATCAATCCCATGAATGTGAATGGAGGTGAGTTACAAGAGTGAATGGGTAGTGGAGGAGTAATGGATGGTGGAGGTAGTGGAAGTTATTTGGAGAAGATGAAGAGGAAGGGGTAAATGGACATCCACACAACATTCATAACACTCCCCCTTGGATGTCCATTATACAAATATGAGCCTCGTTAAAAAAACTTCAACTAGGAAAAACCTTGTGGGATAAAAACCTAGAAGAAGAAAAAAAGTACACATTTATTGATATGCTATTTAGTGCTACCTCATTAAAAACCTTACTAGGAAAAACCCAATGGGATAAAAACCATAGTCAAGGAAAAAAGAGTACAGCATGTGTTAACTCCCCCTCTTGGTAATATCAGTTGATATCTCTGAGTCTATGACATCCGATATTATGAACAAGCTTTTCAAATGTTGTACAAGGAAGTGACTTGGTGAACAAATCTGCTAGATTTTCACTGGAACGGATTTGTCGG